GAAAAATGTCATTGGAATTTTGATCAGTGTGGCATTGAAGGTATAGATTGCTCTGGGTAGCATAGACATTTTAACAATGTTTATTTTCTGATCCATGAGCATGGAATATTTTTCCATCTTTTTGTGTCCCCTTCAATTTCTTTCATGAGTGTACAGATCCTTTACTTCTTTGGTTAGGTTTATTCTGAGGTATCTTATTTGCTGCTATTGTAAATGGAATTGTTTCTCTAATTTCTCTTTTTACTGTTGTGTTGTTAGTGTATAAGAAAGCAACTGATTTCTGTGCATTGATTTTGTGTCCTGCCACATTACTGAATTGCTGTATGAGTTCTAGTAATTTGAGGATAGAGTCTTTTGGGTTTTCCAAATAAAGTATCATGTCATCTGCAAAAAGAGAGTTTGATTTCTTCTTTGCTAATTTGAATACTTTTTATTTCTTTTTGTTGTCTGATTGCTGTTGCTAGGACTTCTTGTACTATGTTGAACAATAGTGGTGAGAGTGGGCATCCTTGACATACACCTGATCTTAAGGGAAAGTCTCTCAGCTTTTCCCCATTGAGGATGATATTCGCTGTGGGTTTTTCATAGATCGATTTTATGAACTTGAGGAATGTTCCCTCTATCCCTATACTCTGAAGAGTTTTAATCAGGAAAAGATGCTGTATTTTGTCAAATGTTATTTCTGCATCAATTGAGAGGACCGTATGGTTCTTCTCTCTCCTCTTATTAATGTGTTCTATCACATTGATTGATTTATGAATGTTGAACCACCCTTGCATCCCAAAGATAAATCCCACATGGTCGTGGTGGATGATCCTTTTAATGTATTGTTGGATCCTTTTAGCTAGGGTTTTGTTGAGGATTTTGGAATCCATATTCATCAGGGATATTGGTCTGAAATTCTCCTTTTTGATGGGGTCTTTGCCTGGTTTAGGGATTAAGGTAATGCTGGCCTCACAGAATGAGTCTGGAAGCTTTCCTTCCGTTTCTATTTTTTGAAACAGCTTCAGGAGAATAGGTATTATTTCTTCTTTGAATGTTTGGCAGAATTCCCCAGGGAATCCATCAGGCACTGGAATCTTGTTTTTTGGGAGGTTTTTGATCACTACTTCAATCTCATTACTGATTATTGGCCTGTTCAGGTTGTCAATTTCTTCCTGTTTCTGTCCTGGGAGTTTATATGTTTCCTGGAAGGCATCCATTTCATCCAGATTGCTCAGCTTATTGCCATGTAGTTGTTGATAATAATTTCTAGTAATTATTTCTATTTCCTTGGTGTTAGTCATGATCTCTTCCCTTTCATTCATAAAATTATTAATTTGGGTCCTTTCACTTTTCTTTTGGATCAGTCTGGCCAGTAGTTTATCAATCTTATTAATTCTTTCAAAGAACCAGCTTCTAGTTTCATTTGATCTGATCTACTGTTTCCGGTTTCTAATTCATTGATCTCTGCTCTAATCTTAATTATTTCTCTTCTAATACATGGCTTAGGCAACGTTTGTTGCTTTTTCTCTAGTTCTTAAGGTGTAGAGTTAGATGGTGAATACGGGATTTTTCTAATATTTGAGTGAGGCTTGCATGGCTATGTATTTCCCCATTAGGCCTGACTTTGCAGTATCCCATAGGTTTTGGACCAATGTGTTTTCGTTCTCATTGGTTTCCATGAATTGTTTAAGTTCTTCTTTGATTTCCTGCTTGAACCAAACATTCTTGAGCAGAGTGGTCTTTAGCTTCCAAGTGTGTGAATTTCTTCCAAATTGTTTCTTCTAATTGAGTTCCAGTTTTAAGGCATTATGGTCTGCAGGGAATAATCTCAGTCTTTTCGTATTGGTTGAGACCTGTTTTGTGACCCAGTATTTGGTCTATTCTGGAGAAAGTTCTGTGTGCGCTCGAGAAGAATGAGTATTCTGTTGTTTTAGGGTGGAATGTTCTGTATATATCTATGAGTTCCATCTGGTCCAGTGTGTCATTCAATACTCTTGTTTCTTTGTTGATTTTCTGCTTAGATAATCCGTCTTTTCCTGAGAGTGGAGTATTGAGGTCTCCTACAATTAATGTATTGTTATCAACATGACTATTTTGGTTAACAGTTGGCTTATGTAGTTGGCTATTCCCATGTTGGGGGCATAGATATTTACAATTGTTAGATCTTCTTGTTGGATAGACCCTTTAAGAATGATATAGTGTCCCTCTGTGTCTCTAACTGCAGTCTTTAGCTTAAAATCTAATTTGTCTGATATGAGAATTGCTACTCTAGCTTTCTTTTGATGTACATTGGCATGGAAGATGGATCTCCATCCCTTCACTTTCAGTCTGGATGTATCTTTAAGTTCAAAGTGAGTCTCTTGTAGACAGCATATGGATGGGTCCTGTCTTTTTATCCAATCTGCAATCCTGTGCCATTTAATGGGAGCATTTAGGCCATTCACGTTGAGAGTGATTATTGAAAGATATGAATTAATTTTCATCATGTTGCCTGTGAAGACCTTGTTTTTATAGATTGTCCCTGTAAATTTCTTTTCTATATCACTCTTGGGGTCTTTCTCCTGTTATAGAACCCCCCCTTAATATTTCTTGCAGGGCCGGCTTTGTGGTCACATATTCTTTCAGTTTCTGTTGCTCTTGGAAGCTCTGCATCTCTTCATCCATTCTAAATGACAGCCTTGCTGGATAAAGTATTTTTGGCTGCATGTTCTTCTTGTTTAGTACCCTGAATATGTGTTGCCAGCCCTTTCTGGCTTGCCAGGTCTCTGTGGATAGGTCTGACATTATTCTGATGTTCCTCCCTCTGTATGTAAGGAATCTCTTCCCCCTAACTGCCCTTAAGATTGTTTCCTTGGTTCTAAGATTTGCGAGTTTTACTATCACATGCCAGGGTGTTGGCCTGTTTTCCTTGATCTTGGGAGGGGTCCCCTCTGCCTCTAGGACACAAATGTTTGTTTCATTCCCCAGATTAGGGAAGTTCTCAACTATGATTTGTTCAAATATATCTTCTAGTCCTCTCTCTCTCCACCCCGAGGCATTCCAATAATTCTGACATTGGAACATTTCATGGTGTCACTTATTTCTCTGATTCTATTTTCATGGATTCTGTGTTGTTTTTCCCTGGCCTCCTCTTTTCCCTTCTTGTCTATTATTTGGTCTTCTAGATTACTAATCCATTCTTCCACCTCGTTTACCCTAGGTGTTAGATTATCTAGATTAGATTGGATCTCATTGATAGCATTTTTAAGTTCTGCCAATTCAGCTTTCATTTCTGCCCTTAGAGACGCTATTTTGCCATTAATTGATTTCTCCATTCTAGCTACCGTCTTCACAACTGCTAGCCTGAATTCCATCTCTGACATCTTGATTATATCTGAATTAATTTGTGAATCCGTGGCATAAGTCATAGTTTCTGAGTCATTCCTATTTTGGGGGTTCCTCCTCCTAGTCATACTGTTGAGGGGTGGTTGAGGGAATGTATAGAGTCCAAATTATTGACCACAACCCAAGCAAGATACACCTGTTTTCTAGGGACCTAAGGGTTGTCGGCCTCTTGTTTTCCTAGCTGTCTTCTGGGGGAGGGTCCTGCTGCGCTGTTACTCAGGCAACCCTGTATGGTCAGAGTTGCCCTGCTCCCTTTGGTGGGGGATGGGCTCAGTGAAAACCTGTTTTGGGGGGCTTTTGTTCTCTGTCAGCCTTCCCTGGCAGCTTCCACATCTCTTCCGAGAGTCAGAGCAGAAGAGATCATTTCCAACCCTCCGCCTCAGAGCAGAGAGATCGCAGTCTGTTCTTCAGTGAGCTCTCCAGGCCACACTATCTCCTTTTCTGTGTGTGCTGCTATAAACTGCACCGTCCTGGGTTGTGCACCCCTCAGCAGCATTCCCAGTCCTCGCCTCCAGGTCAGGGCATGTCTCTGCCCTTTGTGTTTCTAAAACCGCCAGCTGCCCCCAGTTCGCACGTGGGGTCCTGCTACTCCAGGTTTCCATCTGGCGGGCTGCCCTAAAGTCCTTTCCCCATCGCTATCGGTCTGCGAGCCTGCGCCCTGTCCCCAGTGCAGGTGGCTATTGCTCACGGGCGGCATAGGATCCCAATGGCTTGGCTCCGTCCCCCTGGATTTATCCTCTGATATATGCCTGCAGAATCATGGCTCCCTGCTTCATACCTGGAATCCAGCTGCCTATAATATTCTGTTTGTAGAGATCCAGATCTATCTTCTTACATCTCAGGCTGATTTCCTGGGTGTTCAGAGTGGTCTGGCAGATATCCAGCTCAATTCCTGGGACCGGTTGGAATAGAGTCCCCTACTCTTCCGCCATCTTTGCCTCTCCATCGCTAAATGGTCTTTAAAACTAATTAGAAGGACACCTGGGTGGCTCAGGTGTTTAGGCATCTGCCTTCAGCTCAGGTCATGATCCCAGAGTCCTGGGATTGAGTCCTGCATCGGGATCCCTACTCAGTGGGGAGCCTGCTTCTCCCTCTCCCTAGGCTGCTCCCCCTGCTTGTGTGTGTGCTCTCTCTCTCTCTGTCAAATAAATAAATAAATAATCTTAAAAAAAATAAAACTAGTTAGAAAATTCTGATATAATTTAGATGTAGTACTTTTTCAAAGCCAGGAAATGAATTTTAAATGACCTCAGGTTAAATATTTCTACATTAGATCTCTTTTCTACCCCAAAGTTGAAGGTAATTTTATTTAGTTTAATTCAGAGGATTCTGTATTTAAGTAACCCAGTTACTCATATACTAGCAAGTAAAAATTTCATTCATTATTACACTTAAGATGGGTGAATTTCATGGCATATAAATTATACCTCAATAAAGTTGTTTAAAAAAATTTCCATGTAAAAATTTCTGACAAAAACTGTCCTGTATTTTAAATTATTGTTTTATTAAGAATTGAATTTGCTTATTATCAACTTACCTGAATAAATTTCTTTAACAGATGATTTTTCTCCTTTCCCATTATTCTCTTTCATTTTAAAAATGTAGCATAATGGGTTAATGAAATTACTTACTTGGCAAGAATCTGCTTCTCCCTCTTCCATTGGCTCATCAACCATTTGAAGACCATTTACCTGAAAAATATTGTTCAAAAACTGAAGTTTAGGATTACTAGAACAAGAGTAAGAACTAAGAATAATATAACCCCGGCATTTCCCATCATGATCTAACAAGATCCACACTTACTGAAACACAAATTGTCAAAGGACATATAGAAGGTACTTAGAAAAGGAACATTCTTAATATGGTTTTCAGATTGTTCTCGAGAATCCTTAACTTTCAGAGCTGAATGTTTCATCTCAAATTATTTAGAGCTTTGCTATGATTTATTAACATACATTAAACATATGACCTTTGTGCTTTCAGTAATATTGTCCCCAGCCAAACACCAATGGAAAAAGAAAGCATTCAATTAAAAATGGGCAGAACTATATGAGGACTCTGAAAATTAAATAATAGCAAGCAGATAAGGGAGGGAGAACAAAATTCAAAGAATAACCAGCATTATGGTGAGTTTCCTGGGTTTATTTCAAACCTTTATCTCTTGACTTTGACCCAAGAAGATACTGAGTCATGGAACTCCACAGCGGGTATGAATAATATTTGCAAGAAAAACCTCACTTTCTGGAGAAAGGAACAGGAAAATATGCACTTTTGAGCTAGTGAACATAAGAATTACAAGCTTTTTTCCCACTTTTTTTTTTCTTTTTTGATTCCCAGTCCTGCTCCAAGGCAAGCTCCAATCAAGAGAAACCTATCTGATCAGAGAGACCAGGAAAAGAGGCTCATATGATTAAAAAATAAAAGTTTGTGTAAGGGGAGGTATTTCCTGTTATTTTTTTCATGCTCTCCTTCACTTCATCCCAAGGGCAGCCCTAATAGTACAAACCTGTGTGACATCATGAAAGACTAAAATTTTGAGAGAAACTAAGTTCTGGTCAGAGGAATCAGGATAAAGGGCCCATGGGAATTGGAGAATCCATAGAAGATATCATGGAAAAGATAGAATGGGAGAAGGAGGTCCCCTAATTCTGTGTACAAACAGACACAATTCCTGGTCTCAACAACAAACTGCATGTGTGTGGAATAGAATCTAAGAAGCCTAACAATGGGCTTGAAAACAACAGCAACACCAACCACTGATATGGTCTAAAACTAACTACTGAGTTACTACGTGCAGAGTTCTGACCCAAACAATCTGAAGACATAATTAATGTTGGAACCATCACACAGAGAGGGTGAGATAGAACTTGAACCTAATCAGGCAGATTGTATGCTGAAACAGTCAAAATTAATAGGTGTCAATTCCAGGATAACTCTGATGTTGAAACATCCGACAAGGATTATGCAGCTATTATAACTATGTGCTTTGGTTAAAAATAAACACACTTGAAAAAAAAAATAAACACACTTGAATGGAATGATAAAAAGTTATCAGCAGAAAATATAAACTATAAAAAATGTAAATAATTTTAGACAAAAATAATATATGATTTAAAAAAATACTGGGTTAGCTAAGAAAATGGAGATGGTGGAGGAAATAGTAAACTTGAAGATACAGCAACAGAAATTAACCAGTATGAAGAAGAAAATGAAAAATGGTTAAAAGCAAATGAACAGAGCCTCAGAGACATATGAAATGTGAGAAAATCTAAATTCCATATAATTAACATCCCAGAAAAAAAGAGAGATACAGAAAGAATTATTTAAATAAATAATGGCAAATCCATCCATATAAATTTGGAAAAGAGAAAAATCTATTGAGACAGAAAATGAACTAGTTGTTGCTTAGGGGTATGGGATAAGGAAATGGGGGTAACAGATAAAGGGTAAAATGTTTATGATGTGATAAAGTTCTAAAACTGTGTTGATAGCTGTGCATATCTGTAAATATTCTAATATTCTGCTGTGTAGAAGCATTTTAGTTTTTTGAGATAACTGACATACAATATTACATTATTTTCAGGTGTACAACACAATGAATTCACATTTGCATACACTGCAAGATGGCCACCAAAATAAGTCTAGTTACCATCTACCACCTTACATATTTAATACAATGTTATTGACTATATACATCATATACACATGACTTATTTGTTTTATAACTGGAAGTTGGCACTTCTTAATTTCCTACAACAATTACACCTCCCCAGTGTCCTACCCTTCTGGCAACCACCAATCTGTTCTCTGTATTATGAATCTGGGTTTTGTTTTCTTTTTATTGCACATGTACATAAGATCATGCAGTATTTGTCTATGTCTGACTTATTTCATTTAGCATAATACCCTGAAGGTAAATCCATGTGGTTGCAAATGATAGGATTTCATTCATTTTTTATGGATGAGTAATATTCTCTTGTGTGTGTGTGTGTGTGTGTGTATACATACATAAATACATGACTTCTTGTTTATTCATTCATCATCAATTGACACGTGGTTGTTTCCATCTCTTGGCTATTTAAATAATGCTGTAGTAAACAGAGAAGTGGAAATATCTCTTTGAATTAATGTTTTCATTTTTTTCAATGTTACCCAGTAGTGCAATTGCTGGATCCTACCTACAGTAGCTCTATTTTTAATTTTTTGAGAAACCTCAATACTATTTTCCATAGATGCTGCACCCACATATATTGCCACCAAAAAACATGAACATCCATTTTCAGTTGCATCAAAATGAATAAAACAAAGTTTTATTTGTTGTTTTTTCCACATTCTCCCCAGCACTGGGTATCTTTTTGATAATAGTCATTTCCACAGGTGTTAGGTAATATCTCTGTAGTTTTGTTTTGCATTTTCCTGATAAATTAGTGACATTGAGAATATTTTCATATACCTTTTGGCCATTAGTATGTCTTCTTTGTTAAAATGTCTATTGAGATCCTTGACCCATTGTTTTAAATTTTTTAAGATTTTATTTTTTAAGTAATCTTCTAAACCCAACATGGGGCTTGAACTTAAAACCCTAAAATTAGGAGTCGCATGCTCTATTGACCAAGCAGCCAGGCACACCTCTCTGCCAATTTTTTTAAAACTTTTGCTTTGGTTTGCTTTGGTTTGTTTTTTTTGTAATTGAGGTGTAGGAGTTCTTTCTATATTCTGGATATTAACCCCTTACCAGTTATATGATTTGCAAATATGTTTTCCTTTCAGTAGTTTTTTTTTTTTCATTTTTTGTTGGTTTTCCTTTGCTGTGCAGAAGCTTTTTAGTTTGAAGTAGTCCCATCTGTTTATTTTTGCTTTTGCTTCCCTTGCCTTTGGAGTCACATCCAAAAAACATATTGCTAAAACTGACTGATCAAAGAGATCACCATCTAAGTTTTCTTCTAGGATTTTTATGTGTCTGGTCTTATAGCTAAATTTCTATTACATTTTGAGTTAATTCTGTATATAGTGTAGGAGAGTGTTCCACTTTCATTCTTAGGATGTAGCTGTTAAGTTTTTCCAACACTATTTATTAAAGAGACTGCATTTTCCCCATTGTATATTATTGCCACCTTTGTCATAAATTGACTACTGGTGTTTTCACTTCTGGACTCATTATTCTATTCCATTGATCAATGTGTTTGTTTTTATGCCAATACCATACTGTTTTGATTAGTTTTGCAATACAGTTTAAAATGAGGGTGCATGGGGCACTTGGCTGGCTCAGTTGGTTAAGTATCTGCCTTCTGCTCAGGTCATGATCTCCGGGTCCTGGGATCAAGCCCTGCATTGGACTTTCTGCTCAGCAGTGAGTCTGCTTCTTTCTCTCTCTCCCTCTGCCCCTCCCCACCACTCGTTCTTTCTCTCTCATTTTTAAAAATTAAATAAATAAATAATAAATAAATAAATAAAATCAGGGTGCAGGATACCTCCAGCTTCGTTCTTTCTCAAGACTGTTTTGGCTATTCAGGGTTTTGTGGTTCTATACAAATCCTAGAATTATTTAAAATGTTCTAGTTCTCTAAAAAATTTCAGTGTAATTTTAATAGGGACTACATTGCATCTGTAGTTTATTTGAGGTAGTTTGGACAGTTTAATAATACTAATTCTTCCAATCCATGAGCACAGAATATCTTTCCATTTATTTGTTTCTTCTTCAATTTCTTTCATCAATACTTGCTATTTTTCAGTGTACAGATCTTCACCTCCTTGGTTATATTTATTCCTGTTTTATTCATTTTGATGCAACTGAAAATGAATTTGTTTCCTTGATTTCTTTCTTATTAGCTCTGATAGTTTTGTGGTAGAGTCTTTAGGGTTTTCTATATATAGCATCATGTCATCTGCAAATAGTGAGTTTCACCTCTTTCTTACCAATATGAATGCTTTTATTTCTTTTATGCACCTACTTGCTGTGGTTAGAATTTCCAATACTATGTTAAATAAAAGTTAAGATAATAGGCATCTTTGTCTTATTCCTGATCTTAAGGGAAAAGCTTTCAACTCTTCACTGTTAAATATTAGCTGTGAATTGGTCATATATGGCCTTTATCATATAGAGGTACATTCCCTCTATACCCACGTTGTTCAGAATTATCATAGATGAATGTTTAATTTTGTCAAATCCTTTTCTGCATCTACTGAGAGGATATGATTTTTATCTTTCATTATGTTAATGCAGATTATCATGTTGATTTATTTGTAGATGTTGAATCATCCATGCATCCTTGGAATCAATTCCATGTGGTCATGATGTATAATCCTTTATTTAAAAGATTTTATTTATTTGAGAGAGAAAGAGAGAGCACAAGGAAAGGGAGGGGCAGAGGGACCAGCAGACTCCCCAAGTGGGGAGTCCAACATGGTGTTTGACCCCAACCGAGCCACCCAGGCGTCTCAAAAATTATTTATTTATTTAATTAATTAATTTATTTATTTCAGAGAGAGAGAGAGGCAGATGGAGAGAGAGTCTTGCAGACTCTGCACTGAGCATGGAGCTGGATGCAGGGCTCAGTCATGACTTGAGCAGAAACCAGGCATCAGACGCTCAATTGACTGTGCCACCCAGGCACCCCATATAATCCTTTTAATGTATTGTTGAATTCATTTTCTAATATTTGGCTGAGGTTTTTCGCATCTCATTTCATTA